GGGAGACTCAAATATCTGTTTGGTATAGTGGAACATCTTTCTTTTTGGATAAAAGCCCACCCTTTGGCCTCTGTGACTACAATGGTATTATCAAAATCTTTTTGAAACAGGTTAGACCTAGATTTGGTCTAGTAGAGAACAATGATTCAGAAAACTGAAACCACTTAATTCCAGAGTACTGAAGGGAGTGATGGCAAGTTTAGATACCAACTAATATTATCACAGTCCCTGGACCTACCCTCCTCAGGAAAGGTAGAAAACAATGAACTAGATTCTTAAAGAGAAGATCACAAAACTAGGCTTAGAAACCAAATTATCCAAGGACAAAGTATCTCCCCATAACCTTACTCTGAATCAGAAAGGCCCCAAGAAAGGACCTAGGATAATCCCCTTATGAACTAATGTATGGGCTCCCCTAACTAGGTTAAGACCACAGACATGACCATCATGGATCAGTTTCTGAAGAATATGTGCTGGTTCTTTCCACTACTTTGTCAAATCTCAGGTTAAAAGGGCTCCTGGCTCAAACCTCTCTCCTTGAAATCACTGTTCAAGACTTTTGGCTGGAAAACTTGGTGCTGATTAAGTCTGGGAAAGAAGGAAAACTTCAGCCAGACTGGGTGGGCTCTTCACAAGTGCTGTTGACAACTGAGCAGCCATTTAGACCGTGGAAAAGGGGTAGATTCACTATATTTGAATAAAGGGTCTAGTTGAAAAGGACAAAGAGAGAAGTGGTAATCGGTGGGAGGTATACCCTTCACCTAGGGAACTCCTTAAGGTAACTGTGAGGAGGGTCTAAGAGAATATTCCACAACTATCCTTCCCACGATGATGAGGTTGTTTTTTTTATGATGAGGTTTTGTTCCAGAGAAGTCGGCAAGCTAAAATGGGTTATTACATTAGAAATACTACAGAGTGTCCTGGGCACCACCAGCATCCTAAGTTAGATGAGTGATTAATGTAACCAAAACTACATCTGCCCTAGTCCTTTTGCTTGATTCTTACCAGGTCTTATCATGTGAAGACAACTAATGAGCTCAGATAAATACTTATGCCCTAAAAAGAAGACCCTAAACAAATGAGTATTTGCTGCATCCTCATGTTCTGGTTGGAGAAAATGTATGGTGACATTCAGACTGAGGGATGGACATACAATCTGTCATCCTCAAACTCCTGTAATGAATTAAAGGAAAAGATACACTTTTATAAGGGTGAAACATTCTCACCCCAACTGTAGTGAGCTAGAGTGTAACCCTTTACTACTGTCCATCAAGACTCTGGCTACTTTGGATCAATGATCACTAGTTACTAATTGGGTATAAGAATTGGGGTGAAAAAGAATGGGCACAGACACCCTTCGGAGGTTGATGCTCAAATTAGTAACTGTTTCAACACTTAGTCCCCAAGCCACTTCTACTCCACCAGTCAACAATGACTTCCAGTCACTTTATAATGACCCCCAAAAGGCAGAAGTGACTGAAGTGAAGGTCTTGAAGGAGAAAGAAACAGGATATGGAAATGTGAATGCTTGAGTAGAACGGGTAGAACATTCAGCACAAGCTCTGAACAGAAGTTAACTGCTATGCCTGTGTAGCTGGTCAACCATAAGCACAGGTGGTTCCCTTTTTCTTCAGTGGGACTGGGATCCAATAATAATGTACCGCATGATGGCTCTGTACCAGGACAAGAATGCTTGGGGAAATGACACTTGAGAAGCTGTTGTTGCTCTTTTCTATACTGCAAAAGTTGGACCCGAGAGTGAACCCCTATTCTCCACAGCGTGGATGAATCACTCTTCTTACCTCTCAAGGCAGGGAGAAGAGTTCACAGTGCCTGCAGAAGAACTGACAACTTGCACATACGTCTGAAATATTGATGTTGAGTCTAGCAATGGCAACTTTTTGGCCTTTAGATTATCCTGGACAGATGTCTGGTGGTACTGTGGAAAAGGGAATCTCTGAGATCTGCTGCTGTCTGATTAGTCTAGGACATGTGCTCTGGTCCAGCTGGCAATTCCTTTCACCCTCTGTTCTGAGAGTAGCTGGAACACAATGGGAAATTCTGGGCCTGGAAATCCTTCTTTAGATCCTTAGATCCATATTTATAGTGACTCTATCTGAGTCCTTAGAAGGGTTTCTAATAATTATGTTTGCACCTAAGAATCAAGATAGGTGCAGCATTTAAAAGCATACTTTTCCAGTGGTCTACAATAAATATGAATGTAGGTTGGATCAACTGTATTTACTATAACCAACAAAGTTTCATAACAGAGATGCCCTACAAGGGGTGGCTAGCCAGATAGATGCCATCAGTCTGACAGCCTGAGAAAATAGGATGACATTAGACATGATGATGGAAGAAAAGTGTATGTGCTAGGAGGTAAATGCTAGGAGGTAAGTATGATAGCTTCATCCCTAATAACATAGTTTCTGAGGGAACTATAACAAATGTCCTGTAAAGATTAAACACTCTGGTCAATGAACTGGCAGAGAATTCAGGAATCAGCAACCCTTTCACTGAATGGATGGAAGGGTAGTTTGGCAAGTGGGAAAATACAGCCACTTCTATCCTCACTTCTTTCATAGTAGCAGCAAGAATCTTGACAGCTATTCGGTGTTGTACCACACCTTTTTTCTGAGGTACAGCCCAAAGACTAAATGAGAATGCCATCATAGTTTACCAACAAATCAACATAATACTAGAGACACACATAAGTAACACTCCCTATGATGAGGATAGTCAACAGACACTAGAGAAGTTTGAAAAGTATAGATAATGATAAGACCAACAGAAAAATTCATTTCTGTATGAAACAGAAAAAGGGGCATTTGTCAGAAATAGAATTCAGGCTGGCCCATCTTCAGACTAAAAACAAGGGCAAGGGTAAAAAGTCCCAAGCTGACCCAAAGGAGACATAAGCTATTAAATGACATAATATGCCTCTGGAATGTGTACATAAACAGGATGAAGGAAGATGGGGGAATCAGGGAAAAGGAGTCATAAAAAGAAGTGAAAAGACTACGTGGTATCAGGAAGACTGTTAACCCCACAGTACTCAGCCAATGAAGAACCAGGGGAGGGACTTGTGAGCTAGTGGATGAAGATTTGTGGGGGACTATGAAAGACATGATGGACTATTCCTTTTTCTGGGTTTGTTGTTATTGTTGGAACAGACCCATAGGTAACCCTCTAGTCAGTTTTCAGAGGCGGTAAACCGCATAGGAAGAGAACATCCATCCTCCTGAGCAGAAACTGGTGAATTCAAACTTTAAGCCTTTGAGGGATAGAAGTGTAGCAATGAATGAATGGAAATCCAAAATCTCTGTAAATGCTCATTAAAATTATTTAAAAAACAAAAAAAGCCTTTGAATCCACCAGCTGCTCCACAGGAGAAGGATGGGCAATCTCCACCCTTGCGAATTACTGTCTTTGAAAATCTGTTGGAGGTCGGCTATAGGTTAGTTCCAACTTTCTGCGTTTAAGTGCCCAATTTTATAAAATTGAGCAATAATGCCTTGCTCTTGCTCAAATGAATTGGGATTGGATTTCTCGAGTGTTTGTTGAGCCAACACTTGGGGCAATTTATCAGTGACCTCTTAAGGGATAAAGTGGTACACTTCAGGTCTCCTCACTAGGGACGCACTGGGGAAAGTTTCTTTTTTTTTAGAAAGTTCTTAATTGGGGGATTATACTAACCCGTCAGTTGTCAAGAGGAGCTGAGACAGTGCCCAGGGTATTGATGTTTCTCATAAGCACAAGTTAAAAGTTGAGCTCCTATCCTCCCATAAAATTGAGGAAATAGTATCATCCTCTCTGACTGATTATATTTAAAAGATGGCTTCTAAGGAGAGAGGAGTCCCTGAGAAGAGGCTCTGAGATATGTTTGATGAAAGATGTTTCAATTCCAAAGGGGAGAAAAGAGGTTCTGCAGCCCTGCAGCTGCCTGCCCCTTTATCTGAAGGGCAGGAAAGTTATGGTTTTATAAGAACGTTTCCTTATCTATCAGGCTAAGGGGATGTGTGCCAACAAGAATAATTCCCTTATGCAGAAAGTGACATGCTTGACTCATGACTCCTGGCCTTCCTGAAACTGTTTCTGCCTCTGTAAATTCCCTCTGCTGCTTTGAAAACTACCAATGAGAAAACCCCACAATTTCTCCTTTGTCCATTTCCTATAAAAAGCCCAGGCCAAGGGAGGTCTGGTGGCCTAGTAGCAAGAAGCTGTGCTGCAATCCCAGAGCTATGTGGTTCGAATCCACCAGATCCTCTGCTGGAGAAGGAGGAATAATCTCCTCCCGTACCAGTCAGATCTGATTTGACGGTAAACACACACACACACACACACACACACACACACACACACACACAAAATAAATAAATAAATACAAGAAAATAAAATAAAGAAGTAATCTTTATAAAAAAAAAAAAAAAAGCCCAGGCCAAAGCAGTGCAGGATGCCTGACCACTTTGGACAATAGTCCCTTGAGGCTCCACCAAAGAATAAAGACCTTCCTCTTTATAACTCAGGTGTTCAGGTGATTCTTTTTCTCCCTTGGGTCTGATGTTTCTGCAACACTAGGTCTTTGAGAAATTACATTCTTAGTTTCAAAAATTGGCAAAAAGGAACAAAGCCTTTAAAAAGAATTTTCCTACATTTCAAAGAACCAGAAAATCAACTTACAAGTATTAAAACTGTTTTTAGAAAAAGGAGAAGGGGAAATCTTTTTGTTGAAAAGGAAGAATTAATAAAACATCATTCTAATTTTGTATTTGGGCATATAGCATGTCTGTGAATAACTCTGAAAGTAATACTGTGATTATTGATTTGGGGTTAAAAAAAAGAACTTCAGTAAGTAGAAAAATTCACAAACAAAGAATCAAGGAACACTCAGGACTGCCTATAAGGGTTTATAAGAAGTTGTGGAGGGGGAGTAAAAGCTATTAGAATGAAATCAGCCATAAGAGAAGCTAAATTGGACACAACAAAAAATACATACTTACTTCCAAGCTCCTAGACCTGCTTGCCACCCATCTGCAAACATAAGTGCCAAATTCAATACCTTCATTATGGCTTCTTTAACAAAACTAACCTGGAAATTAAAATCATGGACAAAGTAAGAACTTTACCTTATGATTTTCACATTGACATCAATATTTTTTCCCTAATTTAAACAAGTCACAGAAAAAGATCACAAGGCCAATGAATGTCTTCTATGTTTAAGATAAGGTGCTAGTCTCAGAAAAGAATCCACTGAAATCTGGCCCATGCATACACTGCTACCACACGAGGCATTATTAGCAGTACAGTCCAATCAACTGAGCACACTACCATTTCTTGAAATGGCCATTTTAATTTCACCAGCAATATGGGTCAAATAATTACAAGGTATTGTTCTACAGCTGCAAATAAAATTTTCCAATTGAATGCAAATGTAATACAGAGTGAATGCAGAGGCAAAGCTGATCAAACAGTTTTCACAGGTTCTTCTTAAACATAAGATCTAGTAATGTGATACAAATTTATAATCAAGTTGATCTGATCCTTCTTTAAAGAACATTCCACAAAATAGAAACTTAAAAATGATAAAAGCCCAAAGTGAACAAACTTTATTTGCCCAGCTTAATTCTGTGACTTAGCAGTAAAATTTCAAGGTGGCAACTCATGTACCTTTTCTCTTAGGAGACATCGATCATGGATAGTTGACAGATATCTATAGTGAATTTTAATCAATTGATCTAAATCCTTGGCTTCTTCAACTTGATGTTGAAATTCCAGCCCTGTACTGTGAAGAATCTTTTGAGAGAAAGAGAAAAAGTTTAATCAACAGATTTTTCTTGGAGGATTTATGTGCACATAAAGAATTTTTTATTAGCTTCGATTCTTCTCAAACTCTGAAATAATGCAACTATGAGATAATGCAATTAAAAGACCATGACCTGACTCAGGCCATGGTCTTTTCAATTGCTTACTATGCATCTAAGAGCTGTACAAAATGACAAAAGAAGAATTGATACCTTTGAGTTGTGATGCTGGGAAAGAGTACTGAACATACCATAGACTGCCAAGAAAACAAACAGGTTTTTCCTGGAGAGAGTGAAAATAGGTTACTCCTTGTAGGTAAGGATTTTGAAGCTCTGTCTCACATACTTTGTACGTGGTTCTCCTTGGAGAAAGACATCACACTCGGAAGCGTGGAAGAACAGTGTAGGAGACAAAGACTGGATCTCTGGATGTGATGGCTTTACACAATGACTGTGGCAATGAGGTCAGGTGTGTCAGAGATGGTGATTTTGGCTGAGGACAGGGCAAGGTTCAGAGCCACTGTTCTTAGGGTTGGGCTGCTATGAGTCATAGCTGACTCAAGGGCAAAGAATAACATCCTTTAAAACTAACCTTGGTGTGTTTATTGTAAAATTATGTTGAGGTTCAGTTATTAAGGGCACTCATTTTCACAAGTGAATGAATGTCTTATTTTGACACACTGGGATGTTGTTGTTGCTATGTGCTGTCAAGTTGCTTGTGACTCATAGTGACCCTTTGTACAGTAGCTCTGAACCCTGCTCTATCCTGAGCCAACCTTATTGTCTCAGACACACCTATCTCCATTACCCAAGCCACTGAGTCAATCCATATTATCGAGGGTCTTCCCCTTCTGGGCTGTCCTCCAGCTCCACTCTACCAAGTATGATGTCCTCCAAGGACTGATCCCTCCTTGCAACATGCACAAAGTATGTCAGACGGAGCTTCACAGGGGTAGGAAAACGAAGCAAATAAATTTAATGTACATGGAGGAACTCAATTTGGAGAAGAATCCTCTGAAAATGTTGAGTTTATTATAAGTATTATATTTTTTATTATAAGTGTTATATTTATGTTAGAAATAATTGAGTTTATATTTTTAATACATTCTATTTTTTAAATGTAAGTATGATATATTTCAAACTGATAAATAATGCAATCTAAGAAAAAACATTTTCTATACCATTTACTTTTAGTTGAGGCTAGTCCTCTGAAGACTATCACTGCAACATGGATTCAGAGAGTACCTCTGATGCCTTATCCAAAAGGGTTTCAAATGTTCACTCCATCCAAGCAAAACAGGTTTTAGAATAAACAAAATTTAAGCTTTAAACGAGTATTGCCTCAATAATACTACCATTGTTAAACTGTACACTTTTCATTTAAAACTTCCTTTAGAACTAGTTATAAGATATAAAAGTAGTTTCATGTCCCAGTCAGTACATGGCACACCAGCTGTCTGGCACATTGCTCTGCGTCTGGCATGCCATTGATCCAGAGCAACAAGCCAGATGGTGGAAGAGACAGCTGGTGTGCCAGCTGGCCCCCCATCTTTGCCTGGAGAAGTCAGTAGGTTCAGTGAGCTCTGCTTGGTATCTGCTTGCTTGCTTGTTTTTATGGTTTGCTATTAGAGGTATAGCATTTATCTTCAAGTTTGTTGTAGTGGGGGAAATGACTTGCATGGTGCTACTTAAGAGTTTGTGTACCTATATGCTTGGTTATTGTTTGCTCTTAAGAGTACCGTCATTTGATGTACTGAGGTAGTTTACTGGCTGCTGTGATGCTGGAAGCTGTGCATCAGTATTTTAATACCAGGGGTCCACCATGGTGGACCTTTCAGAGGAACTTTCAGATTGAGACAGACTGAGAAAGAATAGCTATCCAATTCTGAAATAACGAGCCTTTGAAAACCCTATGAAGAACAGAGGAATATTATTAGACACACTACTAGAAGTAGAACTCTTACACTTAAAGACACTTAAAATAAGGCTGCAATCAATCATCCATTAATAATTGGTACATAGAATGTGTGGTATGTAAATGTAGGAAAATAGAAGTTGTTAAAAAAAGAAATGGAATGTATAGACATTTTAGGAATTATCAGAGAACTGAGAAGAACTGACATTTGTCTCTCTAAATCAGATAATCATATGATTCACTATGCTGAGAACTAAAAAAAAAAAAAAAGAACAGTGTTGCATTTATAGTTAAAAAGGGTGTCATAAAATCTATCTTGAAGTACAATATTGTGAGTGAAAAGATGTTATGCCAGGAAATTTGGAGGACAACTATCTGGCCAATGGATTGGAAGAAGTCCATATTTGTTCCCATTTCCAAGAAAGGTGATCCAACTGAATGTGGAAACTATCAAACAACATCATTAATATCACATGAAAGCAAAATACTGCTGAAGATCATTCCAAAATGGTTAGAATAGTATACTGACAGAGAACTGCCAGAAGTTCACACTGGATGTAGAGGAGGCTGTAGCACCAGGGATATCATTGCTGATATCACATGGATCCTGGCTGAAAGTAAAGAATACCAAAGAAATGTCTACTTGTGACCTACTGACTATGCAAAGACATTTGACTGTGTGGATCATAACAAGTTGTGGCTGACACTGAGATGAATGGGAGTTCCAGATCACTTAACTGTGCTCATGCAAAATCTACACCTGGACCAGGAGGCTGTTGTGTGAACAGGGGAACACTGTATGGTCTAAAATTGAGTAGGGAGTATGTCAGGGTTTAATCTCTCTCCATAACTATTTAATCTGTATGCTGAGCAAATTATTCGAGAAACTGGACACTATAAGGAGAAGTGTGACATCAGGATTGGAAGGAGACTCATCAATAACCTGTGTGATGGAGATGATACATCCTTGCTTGCTGAAAGTGAGGACATGAAGCACTTGTTGCAGAAGATCAAGGAATGTAGCCTTAGGTATGAACTGCATCTAAATGTTAAGAAAACAAAAATTCTGTCTTATTAGCTCTACCTGATGTAAAAAAAAAAAAAACACCAAAAAACAAAACAAAAAAAAAAAAAAACCAAAAAAAACACTGGACCAATAGGCAGTGTCATGATGGATGGAGAAGAGATTGAAATTCGCAACAGCTTCATCTTACTTGAACCCACAATAAACATTCTTGGTATGAGCAGTCAGGAAATAAGAAGATGCATTGCCCTGAGAAAATCTGCAGTTAGGGACCTCTTCAGATTATTGAGTAGTAATGATGTCAGTCTGAGGACTAAGGTATGTTTGATTCAGGCCATAGTATTTCTGATCTCTTGCTATGCATCTGAGAACTGGACAACGAATAAGGAAGACATAAAAAGAATTGACATCTTTGAGCTGTGGTGTTGGAGAAGAGCACTTAAAACCTTATGGACTGACAAAAGAACAAACAGATATGTCTTGGAGAGGGTGGAGACAGAGTACTTTTTAGAGACAAGAATGATGAGGCTTGAAAAGTGCAACAATGAATGAATGGAAATCCAAAATCTCTGTAAGTGTTCATTAAAATTAGTAAAATAAAAAAAAAAGAATGATGAGGCTTTGCCTCACATACTTTGGGCATGTTCCTTAGAGCAGGAATGACGCTGGGAAAGGTGGAGGGTCCACAAAGGAAAAGAAGACCCTTAACCAGGTGGACTGACATAGTGATTGCTGCAATGGACTCGTGTGTCAGGACGTGTGAGGATGGCACAGGATAGTACAGGGTTCAGATCTTTTGCTCACAGGATTGCTGTGAGTTCTCAATTCGACAGCACCTAACAACAACAGGATGTTATGCATACACGTATAAGGAAGATCTGCTAATACAATTTATATTCAAATATAAGGACCAACAACTAAAGCAAAAGAGGAGGAAATCAGGAATTTTGCAAACTTTTGCAGTCTGAAATTGACCAAGCACGCAGTCAAGACACATTAATAATAATTGGTGTCTGGAATGAAAAAGTTGCAAACAGTGTAGAAGAAATAGTAGTCAGAAATTATGGACTTGGTGACAGAATGAGGACGGACTCCAAAGGACTGAATTTTCTACATTCAATGATTTAGTCATCAAAAAGACTTTTTTTCATCAAATAACAAAGATAAACTATACACCTGGATCTCATCTGATAGCATGCAAAGGAATAATGGTATATTACTTCCGCTGTATCTGTGGAAAGAATCGTTGGAGAAGCTCAATTATTAGCAGTCAAACGAGGCTGGGTGCTGAATGTTGAACAGATCATCAATTACTCATATGCAAGTTCCAGAACACTTAATTGTGCTTATACGAAACCTATACCAAGAAATATTCGAACAAACCAAGGAAACACTGCATGTTTTAACATCAAGAAAGGTGTGCATCAGGAGTCTTTGCTCTCTCCAAACTTGTTCAATCTGAATGCTGAATAAATCATTCTGAGAAGCTGGACTTTATGAAAATGGATGTGGTATCAGAATTGGAGGAAGATTCATCAACAATTTTTATTCTGCAGATGAAAGAATCCTGTATGCAAAAAATGAGGAGGACTTGAAGCACTTGTAGACTGAAGACTGTAGCCCGCAATATGGATTATAACTAAACAACAAGTAAACAAAGGTATTCACCACTGGGCCAATAAGCAACATCATGATAGATGGAGAAAAGATTTAAGTTATCAATTATTTCATATTGCTTGGATCCACAAGCAACAACCTCGATACCAGCAGTCAAATTAAAAACCATATTGCTCTGGTCAAGTCTCCTCTCAGGGACTTCTCTAAAGTACTGAAGAGCAATGATGTCAGCATAAAGTCAAAGGTGTGTCTAACTCATATAATGGTCTTTTCAATCATTTGCTATGCACCTGAGAGCTGGAAAATAAAAATTACAGAAGAAAGATCAATGCCTTTGAGTTGTTGTTGTTCTAGAGAAGAGTCCCACGGATTGCCAAAAGAACAAACAAGTCTTGGAGTAAATGCAGCCAGGAGTCTCTTTAGAGGCAAGGATAGTGAAGCTTATCTCACATACTTTGGGCACATTGTTAGGAGAGGTTATTCCTTAGAGAAGGACACAATGATTGGAGAGGTAAAGGGGAAGCAAAAGACAGGAGGACTCTCAGTGAAATAAACTAATACAGTATTGCTGCAATGAGATCCAACATATCAGAGATTGTATGGATCAGACAGGTTTCATATCTGTTGATTGTATGGTTGCTATGAGTCAAATTTGACTCAAGAGCATTAACAGTTTCATTTACTTTGTAATTATGCCTTTGTTTTAAGAAAAACATAATTGCACATCTAAAAACTCCTCCAACAGAGTAAAAAGGGAAGCCACAGATTGGGAAAATATATTTGGTAATGACATGGCAGATAAGGGACTTATATCTAGAATTTATAAAATACTCGAGCACAACAACAAGATAAAGGCAAATAACCCAATTGAAAAATTGGCACAGGATACGAACAGACACTTCACCAAAGACATTCAATGGCCAACAAATACATGAAGAAATGTTCAAAATTTCTAGCTCTAAGAGAGATGCAAATCAAAACAACTATGAGATATCATCTCACCCCTGTAAGAATAGCAAAATTTAACAGAGCAGCAAACAACAAATGCAGGCAAGGTTGTGGAGAAACTGGAACCCTTATTCACTGTTGGTGGGAGTGTAAAATGGTGCAACCACTATGGAAGTCTGTATGGCACTCTCTCAAAAAGTTGCAAATAGAAATACCATTTGACCTAGCAATTCCATTTCTGGAAATATACCCTAAAGAAACCAAAACTGTCACCCAGGCAGAAACCAAAACTCACCCAGGCAGATATATTCACACCCGTGGTTATTGTGGCTTTGTTCACAATAGCAAAGAGTTGGAAACAACCTAAGTGCCCATCAACAAACGAATAGATGGAGAAGCTGTGGTATATTCACACAATGGACTACTACACCTCATTGAAAAACAAGGAATTCATGCAGTATTATTAAAAATGGGTGACCTTGGAGGTCATTATGCTGAGTGAAATATCTCAGTCACAAAAGGACAGGTGCTGCATGGTGCCACTACTGTAGAACGGGACTGACATCAGAGTTGGGGTGAGACTGAGAACAATTGGATAAATTATGTATACTGCACTGAAACAGTTGAGGGAGAGAACTGTTTGAAAGTAATATATGATTGTGTCTTATGGTTATGACAGGAGTCCAGAATGAAGGTTGCATAGTGGAGTGTACTCAGGGAGGGGGATGGTGGTGGATTTCTATACCAATGAAATAATTTTTCTTTTACTTTTCAAAGAGACGTGCAAACTGGGGGGAGGGGTGGCAGAGAGAAAAATGCAACAATGAATGTATGGAAATCCAAAATCTCTGTAAACATTCATGAAAATGAATTTTAAAAAAAGAAAAAAAAAAGCATAATCATATAATTGGGCTACATCATTTTTACATACAACACTAGACTGAGATACTTAGACTAGTTTAAAAAGTGATATAATTTTCAAGGAATAGCTATTTTGTCACTGATGAAATGGAAAGGAACTAAAAATCAATAATTATGTATACTGCATTGAAATGGATGAGGGAGAGAACAGTTTAAAATCAATATATTATAGGGCATTATGATTATCATACGAATCCAGAATGAAGGTTGCAGAGTGGAGTATACTCGGGGTGAGGGTGCAGGGGGATTATATACCAATGAAGGAATTTTTCTTTTACCTTTCAAAGAGAAGAGCATACTGGTGGTGGGGGGAGGGCAGGCGGGGAGAAAAGTGAATGAATGGAAATCCAAAATCTCTGTAAATGTTCACTGAAATGAATAATAATAATAATAATAATAAAATAAATTCCAAAAGAACTCCGTAGTTTCCACCTGTCGAGGACTACGAAATAAGTCTTTGGGATATAAACACTTTGGTATATTTTAGAAAAATTCTCCTTGCTGTCATATTGTTATATAATAAAACTTTTTATGTGCCCTACCTTTACATTTGTATAATTTGTATTTCTGTGGGATCTTCTATATCTATGAATATATTTACAAGTAATTTTCTATGATCAATTGTGTGTAATGCAAAAGAACTGAGACAGCAGACAGATACAAACCCTTGTCATGATGTAGTTGTGTAAACTGTTCACAAAATGCATAAGCTTCACTCGTAAGAGGAACATTCGATGAATCTGCTGTCTTATTGATTTCTTTTGTGGTCCAAATTTAGCATTCATGTTTTGTTGGCGTAGTCCTTTATCCTGTGATTTTTCAGCAGTACTAATCAGTTCTATAAAAGATCGAAAGAATATTTACTAAGATGCCACCCTTACCACTACAAATGAATAAAAAATTTGATGGAAGTAGTTATTGATATTGTCAAAAGTAATGATATTGATTATAAGTATTTATATTGATCAAAAGGCCAAGGCTCCAAGTGTAAGTGACTTTGAAAGATGAAAAATTTCCCATATCATCTTTATTTTTAGTCATGGAGAATATAAACGTCATTAACTTGTCATTAATAAAATTGTACAGAAACGAAAAATATTTATCCTGGCTAAATTCCTAATCAACTATTGTTGCTGTTGTGTAACATCAAGTCAGAACTGAACCATACCTGACCCTTCAGCAGGTTTTCAGAGGCAGTTTAATCACATGGGAGGAGACTGCCCTCCTTCTCCTGTGGTGCAGGTGGTAGATTATACATATAATTTACAAGTATTTCACTTGGAAACATCAATTCTGACATCTGTAAAATTCTTTCTATAAATACATTTCATGGGAGCACTTATCCCAACAAAAATTATAAAAAAATTACTAACCACTTTTTTCAGGGCTAAATTAAAATTGAGAGAAATTTTTATTTTTGGGAAAAAAAAATCTTACCACCAAATAGTAAAACATCCAGACTATACTTCGCCCACTTTATTTGCAATAAAAGAAGGAACACCTGGTTATATATTTTTTGACATTCCAAACTAATAACAATGTCCACAGGCCAAGGGACCTATGGAAAGAAAACACAACAAAACCCTGGAAATTAAAACAGAAGTGATCTATAGCTTACATATTTTAATTTTAACAGAACAAACAATTTAAAAAGAAAAACTTTCAATATATTAAAAAACATTTTAAAAAACTTATAAAATTTTAGCACTTACCTTGTAGCTCAGGGTTAGACCATCTAACATATGAACCGGGAGTTTCTTCTTAGCTGTGTCAACATTTTCAAATGATATAGATAGACTAAATAAAGAAATTTCAGCTTTAGCTTGGGAAAATACTGTATTCATGGAAAACGCTCTTAAGAAAATAAAGTAAAAAAAAAAGTAATTTTACAATAGGAAAACAAACATTCTGATAAAAGCATATATGTTTAGCATAGCCCACAGAATAGAAACTTCAGCTTTAAAATGAAGGAAGAGAGGGAAACTTCTTAAATAACAAGCTTACCTAAAAAAGATAAAAGATACTTAGCAATGCGAACAAGTTGATCATAAAACAAGGCAAAGATATAATGGGACTAGCTTAATTCTGGTAAAATTCAGTAGCAGGCTCAGAAAATGGAGTCTTTTGCTCATGTTCAAGGAAGGAGACTTCTCTACTTACCCTGGAAAGGACTACTGACAAAGGTGAGTGGTCAAAGTGACTACTTCTCTGGACATAGTATAAGACAAAAGTGGTTGGTTGAGAGTCCTCTATTTTAGGAAGCCTGCCCTGTCCTGAGCCAGTCTCACCAATTCTGACACACCAATACCCATTGCCCCAGTCACTGAATCAACCCATCTCCTCCAAGGTCTTCCTCTCCCGTGCTGTCCCTCCATCCATCCAAGCATGATGTCCTTCTCTAAGGACTGGTTTCTTCTGGCTACATGCCCAAAATATGTGAGACAGAGCTTCAAAATCCTAGCCTCCAAGGAGAAACTTGGGTTTTACCCTCTCCAAGATAGATTTATTTGTTTTCTTGGCAGTCAACGGTAAGTTCAAGACTCTTCTCCAGCACCACAATTTGAAGGCACTGATTCTTCTTCTGTCATCCTTAGTCATTTTCCGGCTTTCTAATGCACAGCAAATAAATGCAAAGACCATGGTCTGGATTAGGCGCATCTTAGTCTCTAGACTGATATCATTGCTTTTTTAGCACTCTGGAGAAGTCCTTGACAGCAGATTTCCAAATGCAAATCATCTTTTGATTTCCTGACTGCTGGTGTTTAAAGTGTTGATTGTGGAGCAAAGCAAGCTATAATTAACAACCTCAATCTCTTCTCCATTTATCATAGTGCAGCTGCCAATTTGACCAGTGGTGAGAACCTTTGTCTTCTTGATGTTAAGCTTCAATCCATATTGAAGACTACAGTCTTTGACTTTCTCCAGCAATTGCTTCAGGTCGTCTTCAGTTTGAGAAAGCAAGACTGTGTCATCTGCCTAATGTAGGTTGTTGTTGAGTCTACCTACAATCCTGATGCCACATTTCTACTAATAAAGAACTGCTTTCTAAATGATCTGTTCTGCATATAGATTGAAAAGATATGGAGACGGGATGCATCCTTGAGGCACTCCTTTCCTGATTTTGAGCCATGCACTGTTTCCCTGTTCTGTTGTGAGTACTGCTTCCTGGTCCAAGCACAGGTTTCATATAAGCAAAATCAAGTGTTCTGTGATTCCCATTTTTTTCCAAGGTTAGCCACAATTTGTTGTGATGTACACAGTCAAATGTTTCTTCACAGTCAATGAAACACCGATAAGACATTCCTCTGGTACTCTTTGCTTTCTGCCAGGATCCGCCTTACAATGGCAATAATGTTTCTAGTGCCACGACCTCTTCTAAGTTCAGCTTGTATTTCTGGTAGTTCTCTGTCAATGTACTGTTGCAGTCGTTTCTGGATAATCTTCAGCAGGATTTTACTAGAGTGTAATATTAATGATATTGTTCTATTTCTACACTGTCAGGAATGAAAATGGAAACTCGAAAGCAAAAACCAGCATGTTAAAATTCAGAACATAAGACTGAAACTTCAGAAATATATAACATATTGGAAGGACAAAAGAACAGAACTGAGCAAATGGAACACAGATTTACAGAGATGGAGGACAAATCCTTCAATTCTAATGTCAAAAGAACAATGGGGAAAAAAGGAGGAAGAAAAATAATGAAAATACGTAGGATCACATTAAGAAGAATAACTTATGTCTGACTGGAATTCAACCCAGGAAGAGGAAAACAGTAATCACAGAGGATATGGTTAAAGTTTTGCTGGAAGAAAATGTTTCAAATACTAGGAAAAGGTAGAAGATAGGCATTCAAGAAACTGAGCAAAGTCTAAGGAGGATACAAGGCAAAAAAACACCCATGAAGACAAAGCATAATCAAGCTTTCCAAAATGAAACAAAAAAAATGAATAATGAAAGCAACTCAGAACAAATGAAGAGCTGTCTGGAAAGGAGAACTAAGAAGACTAAGCTCCAATTTCTCAGCAAAAACCATACAGGCAAGGAGGCAACAGGATAATAAATAATAAAACCCCAAAGAAAAAAAATTAGGCCTATATAAGGTGATCAGTAACACAAAGGATGTGATGTGGTCCTTAGAATAATCAACCATACAAGATCTAAAGGGCAGCATTTGACTAAGGAGGAAGCTCTGAGGACATGAAGGAATAAGAAAGGAAAAAAGTAAAATGGAGAAGGGAGGATGTAGAAGAGTGCTGTTACAGTGTCATAAACATAATGTGTCATACTGCTAAACTGAAGGGAACATCTCTCTGGAGGTCTGAATCCATCAGTGGCCACTCCAGATAAAGATGGGAAATTTCCTACCATGGATCCACTATCTCAGAAAACTGCTGGAGGTTCAACTATGAGTCAATTCTGAAGTTCTTCAGTTCTTTTTTTTTTTAAAAAAACATATTGGGGGTACAAGGAGGTGAGGGTTGGGGGCAGAAGAAGTATTGCCATGGGAAAGTCTGCTGTTAGGGACCTCTCCAAAGTACTGAAGAGCAATGGTGTCTCTCTGGAGACTAAGGTGCGTCTGATAC